TCATTCTTTTCATATTTTGTATTTCTTCCCTGGTTCAGTATTGGAATATTGCATGTTTCTAGGAGTCGATCCATTTCTTCTCGGTTATCCAGCTTGTTGGCATATAATTTTTCATAGTAATATCTTAATAATTGTTTGGATTTCTGTGGTGTCAGTTATAACCCCTTTTATTTCTGATTATTTGCATCATCTTTTTTTTGATGATTCTAGCTAAAGACATCAATTTTGTCTCTTCAACATTCCATTGATCTTTTGTATTTTTTTTTTAGTCTCTATTTCATTTATTTCCACTCTGATCTTTATTATTTCCTTCCTTTTATTGACTTTTGGCTTTGTCCTTTCTCTAATTCCTTTAGGTGTAGGATTAGATGGTTTATTTGAGATTGTTTTTTTTTTGTCTTGAGTTAGTCCAGTATCACTATGAACTTACTTTTAGAATTGCTTTTGCTGTATCCCAAAGATTTTGAACTGCTGTTTTTATTTTCATAATTCTCCAATTATTTTTATTTCCACTTTGATTACTTTATTGTTTAGTAGCACGCTGTTTAGCTTCTGTGTTTTTTTTTTTTTCCAGTTTGTTTTTTTCTGTAATTGATTTCCAGGTTCATACTGTTGTGGGCAGAAAAGATTATTGTCATGATTTCACTCTGTATTAAGATTGAATTTTTTAAGACTTCCTTTGTGGTCTAACATGGGATTTATCTTGGAGAATGTTCTCTGTGCACTTGAAAAGAATGAGTATTCTTCTGTTTTTGGATATAATGTCCCATATGTATCTTTAGGTCCATTTAGTCTAATGTGTCATTGAAAGCCACTGTATCTTTATTGTATTTCTGTCTGGATGATGTATCCATTGATGTAAGTTGGGTGTTAATGTCCCCTACTATTATCATAGTATTAGCAAGTTCTTCATGTCTGACAATATTTGCTTTAGCTTTTTACGTGTTCCTCTATTGGGTGCATTGATATTTGTAATTGTCATATTTTCTTGCTGGATTGAGCCTGTAGTAATTACATAATTCTTGTCTCTTTTTAGTCTTTGTCTTAAAGTATTTTGTCTAATATAGGTATTGTTATTCCAGCTTTTTTTTTTCATTTCTGTTTGCATGGAATATTTTTTTCTATTCCTTCAGTTTTATTCAGTATGTATCTTTAGGTCTGAAATGAGTCTCTTGTAGGAAGCACATAAATGGATCTTGTTTCTTTTATCCATTCAGTCACCCAGTGTCTTTTGATTAGAGTTACATTAATTGTCCACTTATATTTAAAGTAAATAGTGAAATGTATGGGCTTATCACCATTTTGTTAAATGTTTTCTGGCTGTGTTTTCATTCTTCTCTTATCTTTTTTTCTTCTCTTGCTCTCTTCCCTTGTACATAATGACTTCTTTTAGTGTTATGGTTGACTTCTTTTGTATTTTCTATGTCTGTATTATAGTTTTTGGGTTGTAGTTATATGAGACTTATATATGATGTTGTACATATGTCACATTCTATGCTGATTGTTGCTTAAGCTTAAACTAATTCTAACAGCACTGTATTTTTTACAGTTGATCCTCTATGTTTCATATATATGATGTATCCTTTTATACCTTTTTATTTAATGATTCTCTTAACTAAATATTTGAGGTGACTGATTTTACTACTTTGATCTCTTAACCTTCAGACTAGCTTTTAAGTGATCTACCTTTGTTATCTCTTTCCTTATACCAGTGAATTTTTTTTTCTTTTCACAATTTTCTTGCCTCTAGTTATGGTCTTTACTTCTTTGTCTTAAAGAAGTCCCTCTATTATGTAAACTCCTTTAATTGTGTTTACGAGAGAGAAGTTCTTCATCTCTTTCTCAATTCTGAATGATAACCTTACTAGATAGAGTATTCTTGCTTGTAGGTTGTTATCTTCACCACTTTAAATATACCATGCATACCCTCTGGCCTGTAGACTAATAGCTGATAACCTTGTGGTATTTCCTTTGTATGTAACTCATTGCTTTTCTTTTGCTGCTTTTAAGATTCTTTGTCTTTGATCTTTGGCATTTTAATTTTGTGTCTCAATGTGGCCCTCCTTAGATTCATCTTATTTGGAGATTTCTTGATTCCTGGATCTGAATGTTTGTTTCCTTCCATAGGTTAAGGAAGTTTTCAGCTAGTAGTTATTCAAACAATGTTTCCACCCCTTTCTCTTTCTGAGACTCCTATAATAAGAATGTTAGGATGTTTAATGTTGTCTCAGAGGTCCCTTAACCTATTCTCATTTCTTTTTATTTTTTCTTTCTGTTCTTCAGCTTGAGTGCTTTCCATTACTCCGTTTTCCAAATTACTGATAAGTTCTGCATCCTGTAGCCTGCTGTTGATTCCTTCTAGGATATTTTTTATTTCCTTTATTGTCTTTTTCATCTCTGATTGGTTCTTTTTACTTTCTCTTTTTTGAAGTATTCTCTGAGTTCATCCATTGTTTTCTCATCTGGTGAGCATCTTTATAACCATTACTTCAAACTCTATCAAGATAGATTGCTTCCCTCAGTTTCATTTAGTTCTTTTCTCGAAGTTTTGTCTTGCCATTTTGTTTTAAGAATATTCCTCTGTCTCCTGTTTTGATTGACTTTCTCTGTGTGTTTCTACAGACTAGGGAAAGGGGCTATCTTTTTCAATCTTGAATTGTTGGCCTTATCTAGAAACATCCCTTGGGTAGATCGTGTATGCCTGGCAGTTTAAGCTGAAGGCTAGATGGTGCCAGCAGGGTGCTGTGGTGCCTGGGCCCCCAGGTTGTGATGCATAGGGCTCCTGTTTAGGCTACGCTGATGGGGTGACTGGATTCAGAAGGGATGCAGGCAGTGTGAGTCCACATGGGCGTTGCACTGGTTCCTCGGTGGAACTTCTGGGCCTCTGGCTGGCACGATTGGATGAAGGCAGGATCAGGGCGACTGCCTTAGCTAAGTCTGGAGCTAGTGTGAGCCCTCGCTCTGCTCCCATACACACTGTCAGCGTATAGACAAGAAGAGAAATATTGGCACTAACTAGCACTTCTGGTCGCAGAGAGTTCTAGCAGTCCCCCTGCCTTAGCTCTGAAAGTTGGATTTCTTCCCTCATAGGGCAGTTGCCCTTTAAACTGGGACTTTTTCCTGTGCCCAGAGCAGGGGAATCTCTGCTTTTGTCCTCACTGATATCCCTCCTTACTTACTGTAGGACTGGGATGAGGCTTTCTCCATACCATGTCTGTCTCTGTTGCCATTTTTTTATGTTTTTTTATCCCTCATGTGCAGGTGTTCATGCGGACCTCAGTCCTTCCGCAGGATGAATTGCTTTATGCATCAGTTAGATTTGGTGTGTACATAGGAGGTGGGTTCAGGTTCTTTCTTGCTGCCATGTTGGACTCACATCCAATTTGTCTTTTCATACATGTTACTGCAAAGCTCCCCAGCCCCCCAGTGGATACTGATGTAATTACTTACACCCTACCAACCTAATGAATGCTGGTATAATTAACTCTTTAATCTAAGTCTGAGACCTAGCACTTACTTATTTTCATTTTATCAGATTAATGCTATATTTCTAAGACTTAAGAAAAATAATACTCTGCTGGAAGATTTCATTAATATGTATTTATATGAATTTTTCTTTTTTTTCTTCTTCTCTTTAGGTCGAAAGTTTAAAAAGTTCAATAAAGTCAGAGTTATGAGACCACTAGAGGCTATTGCTCTCCCACAGTCGGTAGGCATTCCAACTGAAAGCCAAGCCCTAAGCCAGAGAATCACTTTTCCGCCAGGTCAAGATGTGCATTTGATCCCCCCACTGATAAACCTGTTAATTAGCATTGAACCAGACATGATCTATGCAGGACACGATAACACCCAGCCTGATTCCTCCAGTTCATTGCTGACAAGTCTCAATCAACTAGGAGAGAGACAACTTCTTTCAGTAGTCAAGTGGTCTAAATCGCTGCCAGGTAATAATAATTTGTATATAATAGCATATAATACAAATCTTACTGTTATAGTAGGTTTTTAAATAAACAGTCTGTGTAGTAAATTAATTATAGTCCAGAAAGCATGGTATAGTATGTGTTTCAACAGTTCAAAATATGTATGTAGGACCCTGCTGTATGCTATGGAAATACAAGAAACATTTTGAGTCTTGTTGACTGATCAAGAATTACATTCATCAAACAGTTAAGGAAGAACATGTTATAATAGTTCAGAGAAAGAAAAACTGACCATCTTAAAAGTATCTATTTCATGCTAAATCCTAATCCAAATGGCTAAAGAAAAAACTGAATGTATCTATTCATATAACAAATCAAAATAGTATTCAGAGAACATTGTTGTATGTGAAGTCAATTAAGAAGCCAAATTGCCAAGTGAAAATAATTTGGACATAGAAAATGAACTTCCATTCACTATTTTCTCTAATTTATGTCCAAAGGGAGTAACAATGAAAATCTGCATTATATCATCATGAAGCAATTTCAGTAAAGCTATTTTTGCTCCCTTAACACAGCTCCGTAGGTGGTAAGACATTGAAAGAATTACAAGGATGTGGTTCTCATTTGGGTAAATCTTAGACTGCACAGCCAGGAGAAGAATATATGGGTAGCAATTGCTTGTGGAGGTGTTAATCTCATAATTAGAACTTTTTTCATATTACAGTCTTTTCACACCAATAATATCCTTATACTCCTTTAGACCAATTTATTTTTCTAATATCTGGTTAAGAGTTAAATATATTATGGCATTTTAGTTTACAAGTAAAGAATTCCATTCCCAACTTGCCTTAATATTTTTTCAATTATTATTTTGCCTGAAAGGTTTGAAATACAATAGGTGAATTGTTATTGAAAATTCAAGGTTATATGAAACAAAAAGAAAAAGATTCCTGTTTGTTAAATCTTTTAAGAAGTTGATATAACTCACTATTATAATGGAGATAAAGTAACCTTATAGAAAAATCAAAATGCCTAGACTCTTATTGCTTCATTCTTGCTGGAAGGCCTTGGATAGGTAATATTTTTTTTGTATTAGTAAAGTTATGAATGTTTATAACTTACTGAAAAGTGGTTATCAAGTTTGGTAGATCTTTATTAAGTTAAAATATTACAATAGCATTAATGAATGTTTTCTGTTTAAAAATATGAGTGCTTACACATGTTTAACTCTTCTCAGTTTCCCTATTTGGAAAAAGTGATTTATTTGATTTTTATATATATACTATTATAGTTTATTATTTCTCTTCTTTGCATTTTTGAGGTTCTTTACTGTTTAAAAAGATTTTACTATTAATTGGCAAAATTAGGAAGTAACCAGTTATAGTTTAAATGATAATTTATTCACTTGGATAAAAGCTAAGTGAGCTTTTTAGGTTTAAACACTGTTACCTGTCAAGATTTTTTGACCACCACACACTTACAAAGTGAAAAGAAATTTTACATTAAATTTAGTGATCACTTTTTGTAATGTTACAAAATGTAATCTGTCTGTAAGTAAACAAGAATGATGGCATCACCGTTATTACACATAGTCTATACAATAAGATGATCAGAGTACTGTGTGGCCCAGGTTCTTTTAAACCATACTTGCATGGTCTGCATTCTGGGAGTACCTTTAATGAATGAGTGATGAAAATGGTTAATAAACCAGTGACTTATATTGACCTCTGTGAAATGACTCAGAGGAACACGTGTATATAAAGTAATCTAATATCATTAGCTGCTCAGAACCTTTCAGTTTTGATTTTAAACCAGAGTACAGATTTTATTCACTTGATTCACTCAACAAATGTCTATTGTACTCCTGCTGTGTGCAAGACCTTACAATTACACAGGGGTGTTTGTTAGAAAGAGAAGCCAGGAGGCTGGGTCCATGGCATGAATGCATTTGGTGCAGCACATCCTAGCATCTGGTCATCAGTTTTGCACATGGTGGAAACTTATTTTATCCATTCTCTGATGTGTTTTTCATCTGTGAAAGATGAACTTTTGTTAAATGAGGCTTATGAATAAGCCAGGATATCAGTTTATAGAGTGCCATAAAGGTACCACTAGGAATATATGTTGGCAGATTGGGTCATTCTTTCACAATTGGAAAATGTATTTGAGAAGTCAGATTAAGCTCAGATGCAAAATGATAATCATAACAAAGGTGCCAGCATACATGAGGTCCCCAGAACATATATCTGCAGATCCGTAAGAGGATTCTTGTTGCCTGGTCACAGTTTCCTCATTTCTCCTTTGTGCTTTTCTATTACCTTGTACCTGTTACAATAATTGCAGCTCATCTGATATTTCCCTCCTAATATTTCAGAGATCTCTTTGTTTCTGTTTAATGGAGACTTGCAAGATACTTAGCCCTATGACAGCACATTTATTTACAAAAGATCTCTTAGGGTACATTTCATTTGACATATTGACATATACCCTGACTTCTAGCTGTAACTTCAGTGGGTAATATTTTCTTATTTGGAGCTTGAAACTACACAATTATTTGCAAGATTTTAAAAATGAACAAGACATTTTCTTTGTTAAGGAACTTTCAGTCCAGTTGGATAAATAAGATACTCAAACTATAGTGGTATGTGAAGTGACATAATATATAGGGACAGAAGAACATTTTTGGCTTCAAGGACTAGAGAAGGCTTCAGAGACAAAGTTTCAGTCAAACTGCACCTTGAAGGAGAAATCAGACTCTGCTAAATCATGATAAGAAGGAAAGCATGCCAGATAGAAGGATGGTGTGGTTGATGGTGTAAAAATAAAGCATGAAGTATGTTTCATGAATAATGAATTACACCAGCATAAGAATGGTTCTCAATATTTTCAAATGTGAGCGTCCCTTAGTAATATAAAAAATGTTATACCTTCCCCCCACAGCATAGTAATTGAAACTTTTAATGGCTGCTGATTGAGAAAAGACATTTGTGCATATGGTTTCTCAAACACTACTAAAATGAGTACTGGTCTCTTGGAGGTTTTATCACCCAAGAATTAAGAAACCACAGACAATAAGGGCTGGTCATGGAGGGTCTTGAAAGTTAGGATAGGTTTTGGAAATCAAATTAATAAGTATTCCTTCCCAATTCAATTTCACCTTTAAATATTCTTCATCCTGTATATCAGTACACTGTAGCAGAACAGATGAGACAGGTTTTGGGGGTAATATTTCTTCCTCATAAATTTTGTCTTGACCCTTTTATTTTATTTAAAAAATCAATCCATGTTAATGGTTTGAAATTTTTTAGCATTGTATTTTTGAATACGTACCTTACTTCTTGGTCTCAGCCACACTCCTAACAATTGGCAGTACCGGAAGACTGGAAAAGGCCTTTGCCTAATTTTCTGCTTTTGAAGCATGCCAAAATATATTTTGAGTTATGTGATAAAGGATTTTTTTCTTTCTTCCCAAATCAAATGAATAAATCAAATCACTTCTATGAAGACTGTCAAAAATGATTTTTCTAAAAACCTATTATTGCCAATGTCAACAAAATTTTTTACTTACCAAATCAAATGAATACTTTCAGCCCTTTAACATGTTTCACATGCCCCTGGGCCCACTGACAAAGTAACCATTTCTTGGTGAAACTTGTTCTCTGGCATTTATCACTTCCCTTCCACGTAGATATGTTTCTCTCAATTCAGACATTTTCTGTTTTTCTTTTGCATATTTGTTCTTCCACCTACACATTTGACATTTCCTGGGTTCCATCTTCTCCATTAGTTTCTTTCTCTGCGCAGTCTGGATGATCTCATTCGTAACCTGTCTTCAACTACCGCTATTATATTCTGATAACTCCCAAATACATGGTACCAGCTCAGACCCTCTACCGAACTATCGAACCATGTATTTCAATGGCTTATCACATGTTTCTACCTGGAGGAACTTCCAAGTCAACATGACCTTGCATAAACCTAAAACCTTTTCCAGTGTCCTAAAATGGCACCTCAGACACAAACTTGGGTATCAGCCTCAGCTCACTTTTCTCCTTAACCTTCTGTGCAATTAGTTACGAAATCCCATCGACTGTACTTATTAAATATAGGATTTTTTAGACATGCTACTTCCACTGCTACTGTGTACTGACTTAGTTTAGGTCATCATTTTTTCCTGGATTTCTATTGCAGCCCCCCTGACTTTATTCCCGCAGTTTCATGCTGCTGCAAAACAGTCCTCTATTCTGCCACTAGAATCATCTTTCTGAAAACAATTATAATCAATTATATAATTCCTTTCCTTTTTCAGAACAAAGTCAAACTTCTTGACCTCGATACCCTAGGCGCTTGTCATTTCACTCCTGATCTGCAGCGCTCTCTCTCGCTCTCCCTCTTCGAGCCACTCTAAGGCTCGGGTCCCACAGTGCTCTCTGCTCAGTTTCCTGCCTTCTTTTGCCCAAACTGCTTTCCCTATCTGGAGGCACTTCCCTTCTCCCACATCTTCCCTTGGCTGGTCCCTCTCTCACCTTCAGAATCCTAACCACCTGTCGCCTCCCTGGGGAAGATTTCTCTGAGCCTTCCCAGCCTAGCCGAAGGTTCCTTTGCTCTCCGCCTCCCCCGGCCTTGTCAGCCACAGCGCTGTCACTCGGAGTTATGATGATGTTCTGCTTTTCTGTCTGTCTCACACCACAACATGTGTTAAGTCAGGGGCCGTCTTTCTAGTCTTATGCCTAGTAGCAAGCATGACTCTTCATCCCAAAGAGGTGCTTAAAGAATATTTATAGAAATGTAAATTATGGAATTGATATGAAAAGAACAATGCTGCCTTAAATAATCTCAAATCCTTATTCATAATAAATATCAAACAAGTTGGTGATGACGCTCATTGTGCTAAAGCTTTGTGCCTGCCAAAGTTCGTACTTTGTGTCAGAAGGTGCTGAGGTATTAAAGGCTCTGCCCTTAGGTTAACTGTTTCAGTATGAGACAGTTTTTACGGAAGCACAGCCTATATATTTTATCAAAACTCTGAAAGTAAGACGGGAGAACCTAGAAGGTCATACAGACCATGTATTACTGTACACTTACTTTTTTTTTAAGTATCATGGATCAGTTTGTAACAGGGCTTTTGTAAGAAATTATCAGGTCAAGACACTTAAAAGAAAAGAGTATTTTCCTTTGCTACTTGTTAAACACAATTAAGGATCACCCATCACTTCTCTGTATGAGGGTTTTCATATTGATCATCATCTCAAATGTACTGAGTTAACCTGATCATTATCATCAATGGGAATTTGATCTTTGTTTCTGCATAAAATAATGAACGATATTACAGTTCATAGGGGTTGGGGGGGAGGAATTACATACACTTCTGTACCAGGCATGTTCAAGTCAATTTTAACATTGTGCATTTATCACAGAAAAGCTCTCAAAAAGGTGGAGTAACTAAAGCTATTTTCTGAGTTGTTTTCCATTTTGTTAACTGGAAAGAATGCAGATCTGCTATAAATATTGGTAATTTCATAAGTTTGAAGTTATTTCAGCAAGATTTGCCTTTTATAATATACTAAAAATGTTCCTTTGTTTCTAGTCCTAATGCAAAAACAAACAGAAACCAAAGGGTAAATTAAACTTAACGAAGAAATACAAGCAGAATATCTATTTTTTAAAAAAGAATAAATGAATTGTCATATAATTTTGTAGATTTTAAAAACTAGTCAGATTAACATTTAAAAAAAAGTCCTAGAATGAAAAAAATATAGCACACTAAATCAATATGCAGGCCAATAGGTGCCTCCCTTTAGGGAATCTTGCTTTTCAAAAAATAGGAAACTTCATTTATCTCTTACCAAATTATTTTAAACTTTATAATCAATTACCCATTTTTGTAAAGCCTATACAATATTCCACTTATAAACAGCATTTCTGTACTATTGCCTTAAGGGCAATTCATAATTTTTCTTTAAATGAGAGGTAATATATCAACATGAACTTGATGCATGTATGTCATATGAAAATGACAAAAAGAATTATGAAAATCACATGCCAAATTTTTGTTGGCCAGTTATTAAGGGAGTCTTTTCGCACCTGAAAAATGTAAGCAATAAAAACCAACTCTGTTAATTTTAGAAAACATAAACAAAAAACAAAAATCCTCTGGCTATCCAAAACAAAACAAAAAGAAAAAATAGCTTCCTGGAAGGACACCAGGGATTTGCTGACTAGAATTTGAAACAAGTTTGTAAAATAGGCAGAAACCAAGGCATCTCCAGAGGGCCAACACAGATACCTGCACCGGATCCTGCCATCCCTGAGCACCACCATGATTAAGAATAAAGGCTCACCATATCTTTATCTTTGCTTTACTAGTTTCTGATTCGAAGTCCAGGTAGTATGTGTACCACAGGCCAAACCCCGTAACACAAGCCCAAGGAAGCACTTACTGTCACCAAACAACTGCCAGTAGGAAACTCTACCACACAGGGAAGAAAGGGAAGGAAGAAGTTAGGGTGAAAGGTAAGACAATGAAGAGGTGGCACTCCACACCCCCACCCTCACAAAAAAGTAAATGTGTGCTGTGGCATCCCTAATCATGAATATGCACTCCAGTTGTCTTTGGTTCCTGTGAGGCTGAGAACTTGTAAGAAGAGAACAGCAGTGCTCCTACTGCTCACATGAAGGTGGGACCATGGAGTATATGGAGAGAAGATATCCTGTTCTGCAGCCTACCTTGAGATGATTAACAGAATCAAGAAATAAATGTACTTTGTCCTTGAGATCTAAGGAATAAAGTTTTGCTTTAGTTTTACTTTTAAGTAGGTTCTTGTATGTAGACTTCAGTGGATTCTTAAGGGCAGTAAATGTTATCAAAATAGCTTTATGGAAAGTGGTTGATACCTTTAATAAAAGATTTCATCCACTTTGACTACTTCAGCTATACTGAGATACAAATAATTTCCAAATTTATATCTCTAGTTCAGATTCTTCTCCATATTTCTAAGTCATTTGTCTAATTGCTATCTGGGTATTACAGAGGTTCCTCAAACGTGTCCAGAACTAATTATTTTTTCCCTAGCTTGTTTTCTCCTCTTTTATTTTATCTCAATAATGTTGTTTTCACCCCCCATTCAAGCAAAAACATTGAAAAACTTCTTTGGCTCCTTATTCCTCCCATTTTACGCTTTAAATATTTCTCTGATTATTCTCCCTCCCCTCTAGTCCTACCTGTTGACTTATTTCAGACTTTTACAGTCTCTCACCTGGCCTTTGGGAAGAACTCTAAACATCTCTCCTTGACTCCAGACATATTCCCTTGAATCCGTCCCCTACAAGGCACCAAGAATCTCTCCATACACAAGTAAGGCTATGTCACCCCCACAGCTCTTATCAGACACGCAGGAACATCCATGACCTGACCCCAGCCTACATCTCCAGATTTACCTCCTTGCCTCACCTTCAAGTTCATCAGTGTTGAATTTCCAATCTTCCCACAAGGAGGCAAAAGAGAGTTGGAAACAGTTGAAGAGAAGACTTTGACCATTTTCACAGATAGACACGGAGACACTAAACCTCTTAAACCACGTGGGTGTTTAAAGCAAAACTAGATTAAATTTCAAAAAACAAAAGTGACCAGAAAACTATAGATCTACTCATGACCTAATTATGGGATGCGAAAGAAAAAACAGATACAGCACAATGGAAAGTAGTGGTTTTACAAAATAAAACCAGTTTACATTTAAATTCCAAAGAATTGAGTTTCCTCAACAAACTGATTATATTCTGTTCAGGCATTATATTCTGATTAAGAGTTTTTTCTGGTCTGCCTTCCAGTTGCCTGGTGTTCTCCCTCTTAACCTTCTCTTTCTCTGCATTTATATGCTTGTCTCTCCTGTTGACTTGTATGCTTCTTTTAAGGGCAAGGACTGTGTCTTATTCATCTTCATAACCCCAGTATTTTAACACAGTGCCCAGCACAAAACTGGTTCTCAATAAATGCTGCATAAGTGAATGATGGATGATTGAGTTAATTAGTGAATTCTCAGAAATGCTAAATTATAGTGACTAGTTGTGATGCTTTCTGAAGTTGCTTCTTTTTAATTTTTCAGGCTCTATTATTCACTAATATTTTGTGATTTTTAGTGTAAAACATTGAGGTTGGAGATATTGTATCACCCTATGTACCTCTATTTTCAAATTTCTATGTACTTTCAACATTTTTTACACAAGTGACTTTGTGATCATTTATTTTAAAATTTGCTTTGTAGGTTTTCGAAACTTACATATTGATGACCAGATAACTCTCATCCAGTATTCTTGGATGAGCTTAATGGTGTTTGGACTAGGATGGAGATCTTATAAACATGTCAGTGGTCAGATGCTTTATTTTGCACCTGATTTAATATTAAATGAGTAAGTAGTAACTTATTTTTGTTATTCTCATAATTATCCTAAGTGTATATGTAGAGTAATCTTGAAAATTACATTTAAACAGATGGTCATACATTTAAATGATCATAATAGATTTTCATGAAAGGCCTTTCAATTATCTTGTGAAATAGCTTGATATGACAATATTAATAAAATTGTATTTTTGTCTATAATTTGATATTTGGAGTTTTCCTTGTTTCTCAAATCCAATTTTTTAAACTTCAAAAATGTATCAAGAAATTATATTTAAAGATAAAATTTTTTACTTTATCACCTTGGTAATAATGAAGATAATGAAATAAATTAGAAATATTTTTGCCTGAAAGTATTGATTTACCTTCAAAGAGTGAAGATATCATTTCTTTTCCTAGAGGAAAGATCAGTCTGGTAATTTATTTTAGAAATTGAAAGACTAACACTTCACTTTACTTGATTTACTTAAATTACTATAATTTATTTTGTATATATAACCTTAAACTAAATAACAATCTTTTCATGGAAATATTTATAGTGTTTTAATGGTGAATGTTCAGAATTATATAACGTATTAACTTAACACTTGCATAGGTCTTTATAGTTTACAGAAAACTTTCATGAATTGTACCTCACTTTATTCTACAATCCCTTCAAATAGATAAGGAATCAGCATCTTTCATTTTACAGCTCAGGAAATTGAGGCTCTGAAGAATCGCATAACCTGCCAAAGAATCTGAGTGACATTTGGGATTAATTTTAGCTTTTCTGAGGCAAAATCTAGTTTTCTTTTTACTATTCCTGTTAGCTTCATTGAAGTAATGTAGATACTACAAAATAGCATATGGTTGAGAAAATGCCTTTAAAAACTTTCCTCAGTCTTCAGAATGAATAATCTGCTCATGTCAGTTCCTTGGTGCTTCTGAATGTTCTCTTGTTCGTGTCACCCTTCATTTCCCCTGGAGTAGTTCACAGTAACGATTCCACGTAGAACACCCTGACCATATATATCAAATTGTTCTATGGTTTTGGTGAACTGAATCCATTCTCCCATTGGATTGCACACAAAATTTTATATATTTTTTTCCACAGGAAAAACATTATCAGTGAATAAATTATTTCCTAAGCATTCTTTAGCTCCACATTTTCAACTTCTAAACTTTGGTCTACTTTCTTGGTTTAGGTTTTCAAAATATGATAATGAAAATGAGAAACAGCATTAATCTTGATCAATTCATATTTCATAAGATTTCTAAGTTTAAAATTTTTTAACCTCAAAAATTCAGTATTGTCAATAAGTTTAGAAGATGTTTAAAATTCCAACTACTGAGTTTGTTCATTGAAAGTCATTTTCAATAAAAGTGACTACTAAAACTCATATCCTCTGATAAATTACATAAACTGGCTAAGACACTGTGTGTGCGTGTGTTTTTTTTTCCTGATGCTTTTTCTGTTGTGTGTTGGATGTGGTACAAGACAGCGGATGAAGGAATCATCGTTCTATTCATTATGCCTTACCATGTGGCAGATCCCACAGGAGTTTGTCAAGCTTCAAGTTAGCCAAGAAGAGTTCCTCTGTATGAAAGTATTGCTACTTCTTAATACAAGTGAGTGAGTATTAGCAACTTAATACAAGATATTTACTTTGTTAATTTTTAATTATGAAAATCTCCAATGACAATACAATCATATTATTGTATATGATGTATGAATCTTAGATTGCAACTGTAAAGGAGAAACACCTGACATACTGTCCTAGATATTACTAAACTTACTTCATGTTTCTCAGGCTTACCTATCACATAATATTAAAATGGCCTATCAATTTAGCCAGTTCTATTTTTTAGATAAAACATTATTAAGTGACATTTTTATATTCACCTAATTAGGTATTATGAACTTATTGATATTGTGTAAACATAAATTATGCTTCCCTGCACCCACCCCCCAGAGGACTTACTATATAAAATATACAGTTTTGTTTGAACTATTCCCTTCATGTCAGGAAGGCTATTACAACAAATAACTCCAAAGATCAGTAGCATAATACAATTATCTGTCACTCACAGTCAGAGTCCTGTGGGTAGCAAGAAAACCCAGGTTCCTTCCCTCCATGGCCTCCACACTTTCATAGTGGCTCAGTGCCTCCGTCGGATCTGATTAGAAGATTAGCACAGAGAGAGAGAAGGTTTGGAGGCAAGGCGTGGAGGTGTCTGGCCACTTCTTCCCATATTCCATCACCACCTTAACTGCTGGAGAGGCTGGACTTGCACCCCAACTCTATACCCAGAAGAAAAAGGAAATGGTATGTTATGAACCATAGCACTGGTCACTCAAAGGGTAGGCATTTCACTCATTTCTCAAACACAGAGAGTAGCATATGCATATGTCTGCCTCAGTGGAACCCCTAAGGGTCTAGGTGGGAAAATTATAAAACCTGCTTTTACCTTTCACCCTTTTCTGTGCTCCTACCATGCACAGGTAAGTTCCGCCTTTGAATGTCTGAATTGATCCTCCTTTCATTCCTAGTAATTTGAAAGAGAATCACGGGAGCTAAGATCTTAGGTAGAAGGAAAGCCAATGGTTTTTCTTGGCAACATCTTTGCAGGGACTTCTCTCTAGTGGCACCAATTTCAAATGGTGTTGATGGTGGGGTGCGGGGTGGGGATACATCAGGAAGAAAGGCAGAAAATCTGAATCCTTATAGAGGAAGTTTTCCTCATGAAATCTGTGCAAAGACAGGGACCAATAGAGCATCTAAGGATTCATAGCCCTATTCTCTGACCTTTGGGAATCCTATTTGGAGCAGAAGCCTTCAAACCTAATTTGATGAAAGAATATAAAGTGGACTAAGGGTATTGATGTGGGACTGGCCAAGAGTCAGCTGGAATAAATTTGAAATTACAGTAGTTAATTCATTGGCGGTGAAGTATCCCATAGAGGTTATGTCATATACTCCTAGATCTCCCAAATTAGTTGATACCATTAAAATAATTCTGTATTTATGGATAGACTTCATTATGCTGGGGGACCAGATGACCCCCAAATCTCAGTAGCTCACCAAAACCTTTAAAAAAGTATTTGTTCCTCCCAAGTAACGTCCAGTGCATGTCAACAGGGAAGGTCTGATCATTGTCACTCAGGTGCCCTTGAGTGGACAGCTGGAGGCTGTATCTTGACATACGCTTCCACCATCACTGGAGCAGTGGTAAGGAAAGGAAAGAATATGTACATGACTTCCACTCACATACAATGGAGAGCAAGAGTCTGGCCACTTGCAACTGCAAGAAGAGAGAAAAACAAGTATTTAATGGTACTTATGATTAACTACAAATTCTAATAAAAATTCAGATGGAAATTTTGAAGAGACATAGCAAAGCAATAGAAAATCATCTTTGTATCTTGAAAAATAAGTAGATAAGTATTACAAAATTTTGGAGAGTATCAGACAGCTACAATAATACAGTGCAGGAAAAGAGTAATACATTGAATAGTCAAGTCATACCAATGCATATTAGAACTTAATATACTTTAATGAAGACAGCACAAATCAGTGCATATGAAACAAATATTGTTAAGAAAAATAGCTTTATATTTAGAGAAAACCAAGTTTAGATATTAAGCTCAAATTATATCCTAAAATAAATACCAGATAATTGAGTTGAATGTAAACACCTAAATTGTTAAAAACAGTATACATGATTTTGAAATCTCAAATAAGGACTATCTTTTTAAAAATGAATGCAACTGGAAAGTGGACAAATGAAAAGTTCAATGACATACTACATAAGAATTTCAACCTCCCATTTGCTATTAAAAATTAAAATACAGAACTCCAGGAAAATATGGCAGGTTGAACATATACTAACCATTGTTTCCCATAAAACTACACAAAATTTTAGAAAGGCATTTATTGAGAAGTAAAATGAAAGGTGCCTGAGAGATAGAGATCACAAGCAATAAAATTTTGCAAGCCAGAACTAATTTAGCACACCTGAGAAGGTTGGACTCCATGCCAGAAGTAAGGAAAGCCAAGAAGCAACCTGATTTGCAGCACTGAACCTCTAGCATGTTCTGTAATTGGTGACAATTTTTTGAAATGAGTGATCCTAAAATTCAAAACACAAGTTCTATTAAAAGTGTTTGCAGGTATCACCCAGCCGTCCAATGTTCCTCTGCAACTCAGGCAGACACGGTATGATTATTCCCTGAAGAGGATATAACAGGGTAGCTGGGTTGGTGAACTGCGGGCACTGTTGAGAGTGAGGCATTCTATAGATTATGATTACACAGATGTTGAGACACCATCCTCCAGCATATTTCCCCCCACCTGCCTCCCAGAACATTTTCATCCAGCTTTATATTCTGTACTAAGGACAGTGAAAGGTTTTTCTCTGTAGAATCTTGTTTAGCCAGAAAAAAAAGTAACTCACTATGCTAATAGCAGGAATTTATCTTTGGAACATCAAAGATTGCCCTGCACTAAAGCTCACAGTCAGTAAGCACTACCTGTTCAAAGAGCTATCAGCCACCTTTTTCATTTTCAACTCTTGAATATAAACCAAACAAAGGGATCTGAGGGGCCTTTGATTTCAAAGACAAAGACAAAACAGAAGAACTTCAAAGAAATAGATACCATATAGGGAATTGAAATCTTCAGAAAAATTAAAAAGCTATCTCTCCTTAGATAAGAGAACATATTATACCCATGAAACAAGAATTAGATATTATGAAAAAGGAATAATATAAAAAAGAAAAAGCTCTTGGAAACTAAAAATGTATAGAGATAAAAGTAAAATTTAAAAGCAGAGGCACTGGAAGAGAAAGTTGGAAAACTTCCCAAAAGTAGAGCAAAAAACAAACAAAAAAATGTGGGAAATTGGAGATAAGGCATTCCAACACTCAAATAGTTGGAGATCTGGAAAGTGAGAACAACAGATAAAAGAAGAAATAATCAAGAAAATAATTAGTCTCTTCAACAAAGGTGTTTGGAAAACTTCATTCATAAAAGTTAAGTCAGACTCTTACACTATATATATGAATTGACAAAATAGATCAAATACCTAAATCTTAAAGCTAAATCTCCAAAACTCTCAGAAGAAAACATAGGGGAAAGCTTTCTGACATCGAATTTGGCAGTGAGTTTTTGGATATGACACCCAAAACACAGACAACAAAAGAAAAACAAATGGACTTAATGAAAATTTAAATTTCTGTGTATCAAAGGACATGACCATCAGAATGAAAGGTAATCCACTGAATGGGAGAAAATATTTGAAAATCAGATATCTGATAAAGAAAAAGCATTAATATTCAGAATTAATATAAAGAACTACAGTTCAACAATTTTTTTAAAAACCCAATTTAAAAACAGGCAAAGCTTTGACAGGTGTTTCCCTATGACAGTATGCGAACAGACTTAAGCACATGAGAAGATGCTCAACATTACTAATCATTAAGAAAATACAAATTAGTAACACAAATCAAAACCACAATGAGATGATACAACTTCATACCCATTAGGATGGTTACTTACTCTTAGTAAAACAAAAAGTTGCATTAGATTATAAAGGAAATCATAATATATGGTACACAACTGTGGTAACAATTTTACACAGCTACACTAACAAACACTGAATACTTATCTAACCAATATTAGGAAGATGACTGTGTAAGTATGTGTGTGTGTGCACGCACGTGCGCATGCATGCTTTAATGTAGTGGTGATGGTAGATCTAGAATCGAAACAACTATAGACTAATTTTCCATACTGGAAAGTCAAAAGTTAAAAATAAAAAATCAAGAATCAGCATTGTAAGGATGTTTTTTAAAGGTTTGGAAGGAAAAATCAAAAGAAATAGGTTCTATACTGGGCACTACTCTGCCCTAATGAGGTTATAAAAATGTGATAAAATATTTTAAACAACAAATGTAGAAAAATATTTAAAATATATTTTAGACCTCTCTAGATAAATGAGTACAAAACAAAAAAA